AGTTCCACACTCACTCACATCGCCCGTCCACTTCCATAGCTCACTGTGTGTGTATTCGTGTATGTATATATGTATGTATGTATGTATGTATGTATGTATGTGTGTATGTATGTATGTATGTATATATGTATGTGTGGAGTGCCATAGACCAATTCCATTGACTGCCGACGCCGAGAAACGCTGCGCAGTTCATTGAGCGAAATTCTAACGAAAAAAAATAGATGAGAGTTGAATGCGTTTCACGTCATCAGTAAAACACTTCAGAGCTGTTCAAGACTATGAACTACTGAATGAACCAAACGGGACAACACTATTGGTCCGATACCGTGTCATGTATGTTTCAGTCGGGTGTTTTCAAATGTGTGCATCCGCTTGACAGTGGAAAGTGATTCAGTTTCCGTAATGTAAGATATAATCAGTGAGATAATAACTGCGTGGAGTGAACATAACTACATTGGTAATTGTCTGTCCTAAACTCCATGATGGGTAAAAATCACACTGTACGAGATGAATTGAGGATTTTGATTTGTTACATTGCTTCCTAGATTTTCAGTTCTATACAAAACGAATTCCCTGTTTGCGATTTTACTTTGAATATATGATGAACTGGTCGTATAACTGAGGTGTCAGCTATAAATCTAGGAAGCACAGGAGAGTTGTTTCGAGCTGGTTGGGTCTCATTAGCACTGCAAACCCACTGACCCCACTGGGGATTTAACACGGGACCTCACATGCAGAACGCAAACAAATTACCCACCCGGCAGCTGCTCAGACTGTTTCATTTTGAATAAATACGATATAGCGCAACCCATCTTTGCACTGCTGGTTACACCCAACCAGGTGAGAACAGCTGTACACTGCTTCCTAGCTTTTCAACTCAGGCTTAATTTACCCCGCGAATTCATCATATATACAAATTAGGTTAGCAAAAACGACCTATACCAAGGTTTTCCTATGAAGAGCAACTAACTATGAATGAGTATTTAAATGGGTATGGAAATCTGTTTGAAGAACTCATGAATAGTAAGTAACACACGGAGTAGTGCGCTTACCAGGGGAGCCGAACACAGGCTACAAGTTGTGTGAAAAAACCCACAGACATTATGCACTTCATACATGTAGCCTAAAGGCTAAAATTCAATTGGTTAGATACAAACTATACCAAACAGTGATGGCGTGTTCGGAAAACGTTTTTTCGGGCAGAATTGGTCGCTGTAACATGTCTTCCATCATTTTTTTAACATAATAGAAACAGACAGTGGGGGAATGATTGCTGGAAGACCATGTTTTTCTCTTCACTCTCTTGTTCCTAAGGTTCTCCCCGAACATGGCTCTAATCAACATTGAAAAGCTTCAAATGTTATGATGGAAACATTGAAAAGAACCACCAAATAAGATGCTTTCCTAGGTATTTTGACTAATGATTCACATACTACTTATGACAAAATGTGATTCTAGTAGTAGAGTGTACAAGTACAAGATATAAAATTTATTCGTGTTGAATAACCGTTAAAATCTCGGTTACTACAAGTGAAACGAATGCAGTTGAAATCTTTACTAATTAACCTAGTATGGCCCTTGGTTAGTCGATATTGTTCCACTCAATATTTGTTTTTACTAATCTTGATTTAACCTTGATTACTCGAGGTCATCCAAAGGTTTCCGCTCACTATAAGCGAGTTTGACCAATTCACATATCTTCATTATGGCTTTATGGGTTAAAAACTTATCGCTTTCACACGAGTACACCTCTGAGTTCACTTCTAATTCTTCATAGGTATCCAAACTCACTGCCTGTTTTACAGATCGAAAAGCTCCCGGTTGTAACCGAAAGGGGAATTCGATCGATCGCATTAGCCCAGATCGTACCACAGTAAAGGCAACCACATACAAGGAGCAATCCGTAAACGATTGGATAGAACTGTTACAAAAATGCATTCCATGTAAAAAATATCATTCACCGCACACAGGACTATCGTTTACGGTGGAAATCGGATCAATATCATCATTGGTTGAACAACTGGATTACAAGTCCGGTATATGTGACCTGAAAGAGAAAATTTGTCAGACGGAAGAAAGGTTAAATTTAATCCGACAAAACAAAAATGCTTTGTAAAATCTTGTTCTCCGATAAAAAAACACTTTTATTGGAAGACGTGCCACACAAAGATCAATATACCCCTTGACCGTATGAAGCCATTCGTGTTCACCAAGTTTGACGGAAGCACGTAATTGTCCGGAAAAACTTCCACGTAAAGATCAAAGAAGCAAATCAAATACTCTTACCGATCACAAATAATGGACACACATGTGACAAATCCTCAATCGATTGATGCCATAAAGCTAGTGCAAAAGCTTGAACATCAAACACGGCGAGAATAAAAGATTTCTCGATTTCCTGTAATGCATATTATGTGAACTTTGCGTAACGGCAGTACGTCACTATATGGACTTGTTGATAACCTTCATCTTGACAGAGTTCGTAATGACCGGATTTGTTTGAGGACCAATATCCCCTAGGCACATTGCATATCAGTCGAATGGGCTAAATTTAGATTACCATCTCGCCTAGAAATATAATAAATAATGATAATATGTAATATGTATGTTCGTCATGTCACAGTCTATATTCCACCTTTTTGCTTTGTAGGAGTTTGATCATAATTGAAACATTATCATTATCATAAAAAGTTCACCTGTCTCATTATCTACTGAAGAGCACATATCTTTCCTCTTTTTTCGCGGTGGGTAACATGTCATGGTTTATCCATGTGAGACAGAACGCTACAGTTAATCCAATGGTTTAGTACGGGAGTCACAATACAGAAACTCCCGGTTAGCATCCCTCGTTAATGGCTAAAACCACATAAAATACACCAGAGAATTTTAGTGGTACGTGAATAAATCGGTTGGTAACGACGGTCTAAAAGTGGGTTCGCTTGTGATATCTCCCTTCGTTATTTGGACACGGTAACTAAAAAAAGGTAAGATCTTACAACACTGAAAGAAAGAGAGAAAAATGGTGTGCCAGAGAGAAGCTCATATAAATCGGAAAACAGATTGAATTTGGTCGACTTCCTTGACAAAAAGAAATTCAGCTTAGATGGAATGGGATAAGCGGAATTAGAACTGTCATGATCTTTCGCCGAACGTGGGATGGTGAGCAGATAAACAATAGACATACTGATATTATCGGCCTCCTCCGGAAGACGGTTTAATGGAATTCGGTATGATAAACAGGGGTTCAGGTGCCAACCTGCATAAGTCACAGCAGCAACTTATGCCATTGCTAACACCAAACCATGGTATCTGGGTCATCTTGCGGCGTGAGAATGCATCAGATCACACTGTGTATATAACAAAATGCGGACTGCAATTTTGCAGCATCAAACTGATGGCCTGGTCTTGCCGTGGGCGAGATCTATAAATCAAAAAGAAAAGATTCGGACCATTTTTAATCGAAATATGAATCGGACTGAAACTATGCACCCTAAAAAACATGATCTAATGAAATCCAAGTATAAATTTTTACAAAAGTATATACAACAAACTTATAATTCACTGTTAATTAGGAGTAGTAGTGTGTACTACATGAAATATCGATTTGCACTAAACGTCTTTCAGGCTTTTTTCATACACAACTCTCATCCGGTCACTCATAGACTGGGAAGCACTAAGCCGGAGTTTCACTCAATTCGAAGTACGTCGCGCATCCCATCCCGGTTTTGAACTTGAAAAAATGCAATGATACAAGCAGAATTGTCTAGAGGTATCAGCAGGGGTGACAGACATCGTTCTTTGTTCTTCTCAGTTCAAGTTTCTTGATGTTATTGAACCAAGTACAAGGCTGGTGAATGATTCAATTACGGTCTCACGTGTTCCATTGAATGATGAGCCATTAAAGAATCCCTTCTGTACCTTTTCCCTGTTTCCTACCACAGTTTGCCAATCTGCTGGGATGTGTGGCTGGATTGAAAACCGCTGTGACCGGAATCAGTCTGGTCGCCTTGGGCACCTCTCTACCAGATGCATTTGCCAGCCGGACTGCAGCCAAATTCGATGACACCGCGGATAACAGTATCGGGAATATCACAGGTATGTTGTACTTCAGTTGTTCCTCCATGGTATTAATTGAACGAAAACTGTTATTTGCTCTATAGTAGCGGACCATAAACAACTTCATGAGTGGAAACGTTACGGCTTTGTATATGGCATTGTTCTACAAAAAGACGAGCCTGAATCGTGTGGTGCAGTGGTTTAGTCGTTGTCATCGACGTACTTTGGACCCTGTGATCCGAGGTTCTAGCCCCAGCACAACCACCCAACTTTGGTGGGAGGTAGCTTTGCTGTCGTCCGGTTCTAAACCACGCATGACCTAACGGGGGTTTATGTAGTTTGTCACTGTAAGCCCCGGTTACCACCACTGAACAGCTGGTCTTCGGGGCTATTAGGTCCGCCCCGTCTACTATTCATCACACACTGGTGTGTAACTAAAAATGACCTGAATAATTTGATGCATCCAAGACGTACTGGTGCTTTTGTCTGTGAATGCCACGGTTTTATTCGAACAAGTGATAACACATCTGATAGATCTAATGAGTTGGCTAAATATCTCACAATTCTTGTATATGGATTCGCACATGTACCTTCACTCCGTGCCCGCCATCTTCCCCATAAAAATGGGTCCCATCGTCAACTTATCATGTTGAAAATAATTGTATAAGCATATTTGGGGGTTCAACAGGTTCGTAAACAGTTGACTGTTGCTTTCACTTGGACTGAGAAACCTTGTGCTCAGTTGTTTCTCAACTTGGTTCCGAATGAGATATGCCGATGTTTGCTTGTTTCATAAACAGTGCATATCAAAGCGAATTCGTTCTTTGGTCATTCATATTCTTTATGTAGGAAAAATCTAAATAACTAGACGATTGTGCAAATAGACTCATGTATATCGAGCCTCAATCCCTCACCTGATGATTGAACCCCGTGCTGATCCAGTGGCTCGTAAAGTAGTTTATGGTGTTTTGACTCGACCAAAGACGTAGGCCTCGTCTCTATGAGCGCATTAGTTCATGAACAATCCAATAATCATACTGTTGTTTCATCTCACCCAAAATGATTGGCCATGACTAACGAATAAAGGATGGACAGGCTACTTTTTCGTTGGGATTGTGAAAAGTTCAGTAGTCTCGGTGGGATTCGAACCCACGCCTGGACGCCACCTACGCTTTTGTACAACGCACACTTTACCAGCTGAGCTATGAGACCACACCGATTTGGCTACGAGGCAAATTTACAACTTACGGTTATTCCTATCAAAAGCACAATCACCCGATACAATTTGTTTGTATAGTTTGTGTTGCGTTTGAGTTGGGGGACAGTAGCAGTGATGCATAACTGCCAAAGGGATCATCATTACATGACACGGCCTTTCCGACTTGGGTGATTCGAACGGGAACACGGAGTACGGTACTCGTGGCGCCGGACACTGTTTCAACAGGCTCATCAGCCCACATCTATTCGTTGATGGGAATATGAATTCAATCAAGGGCGTTGGTGGCCTAGTGGCCAAGGTCACCAACTTGTGACCTATGAGTCTGGGGTTGGAACCGCTCCACCGCCGCCCGTCTTCCCAGATAGCCTTTGTATTCAATAAATAACCTACTTAATACTATGTGACTGATACACTAATCAGTTGCTATTCCTGTTTTGACAGTTACCTGATTTCTCAGTATATCTAAGGATTACTTAACAAAACAAATGCGGTTCACTGTTGTGATGCACTGATGTGTAGGAAGTGAAACTGTTGTTGCTTAGAAGAAGGAAAGCGTATGAGTAACTGCGCCCTGCATGTTTCACATTCAAATCATAGACAAATTAGAACTGTGGAGAAAGCCTACATAGAAACGAAGTGAAAAATGTAAAGAATTTGATCTTATACAACGTAAACCAGGAGCCCAGGAGGCGCTAGACAAATATTTGGTTGTGTTTGGTCACATCAGCATTGGGAATCCATCAACCCGAAGCTCAACAGCGAACTCGGGGATCTCATGGGTAGCAGAAAACCCACCTGACGATTCGATGGCTGAATAATCTTCTTCACTTTACACACAGCATTCTTGAAACTTTGTCGTATCAGCCTCGGGAAGCTGCCCTCAGTTTGACACTCTGATCATAGTTCTCACATGGAACTAGTGGGGAGTTCAAATGGATTCATTTCATTTTTCTTTTCCCAGTAGATGAAAGCAATCATTAGAATAACTGTCTAGTCAAATTTTGAGGCAGCCTTTTCCCTGTTACGATTTGTGATCGAATATTGTGCAACTTTATGGTGAACACATATTCTTTGAAAATGGAAATCACCTTGAGGAGATGATAGCTAGTTAATGGGTAATGAAAGTCTAGAGGGCTTTAGCCAATTGTTGCATTCTTGCCATGCGTCCGGTGACCTGGAACCGCACAGTTGGGAAGCAAAAACAGTAACGCATTTACATGGAAGTTGATTTGAATTTTTCCCCCTTTTGCCTGCTCAAAATACGGGACTAAACACCTTGTGAGTCTTTGGATGGATAAATTTATCGCTGGTTGTAGCACAAGCCTCTCTGACGGAGAAGCTCTAAATTTAAATTATCTGTGAGAAATAATAATGAGAAATAACAATGGTTTCATTGTTTTCAGCTTTTTCTGTTTGTTCTTACTTTGTTCTGATATTTGTCAGTAGATTAGGTTCAACTGCTCGGTAGCTGAGTGGGTAGTACGCTTGCGTTCTGCCTGTTCGGTCCCGGGTTTGATCCCCATTTGGGTCGATGGATTTGCACTGCACTGATGAAACACAACAGGTGGAAACAGCTGTTCTGCGCTTCCTAGCTGTTCAGATCACGCTTCATTTACTCTCTGTACATGACGGATTCACCTTTGAAATTTAATCAAATCCTCCACTACTCACTTGATATTAGGTTCTATTCATTTGACACAATGACGAAATCTCTTTCTCATGTCACTGTCTGACAGGCTCTAACAGTGTGAATGTCTTCCTTGGATTGGGTTTGCCCTGGCTAATCAGTGCTATTCATGCCAATCTGAAAGGTGTCCAGTATTGCGTGGCCACGGAAGGAGTGTTTGAAGGAACCATGTTGTTCCTACCGAGCGCAATCTTTGTGCTCGGTTTATTGATTCTCAGAAGAAAGGTACGTTGTTCTATCACGGGGTTTTCTTTTCAAGGTGTAAATCCGTTCATCACTATTCCCCTCCTTGTGAGACACACTGACGCAACTCACTCGGCTGTTCAAGTATATTTTAGAATTCATCAATTCCGCGAGGCTATGTGATCGTGCACCGTTTTGTGATTGGTCCGTTATTAGCGTTATTAGCCCTTCAAGGCCGATGTGACTAGTTAAATATTGATGATGAGTTTGCGATCAAAAAAGGGCAACAATATAACAAGGACGATCAGATGTATCATTTTGATCTAAGCGCACTGATACCTTTTTTGCATGCTAAATTTGACTGAAGAACGATGCGACAATTTGGATGGTGAATGTTTGGATAAGCCCATTCGGTTTTTCACAGGCACCAGACACTGTTGATGATGTTCGGTGTTGGTATCACCATCTAAATTAATTGAGCCATTCTCACAAGGTGATAACTGTCGACCGTGTAGCCCAGGGGTAAGGGTTTGAAGTCCTGACCCAAATGTTCGCGGTTCGGGTCTTGACAGGGACAAAAAAAGTTACACACTGCTGACGGACCCAAACAGCACGAAACAGCTGTCCATTGCCTTTTTCGGTTATCACAAACATTTTCGGCGCATTCAGACGATACGAAAAGGATAAAAGACGATGGGTAAAGTTTATGGGACGACAGAAAAATCTGTAGTATGTGACGTGAACGGTAACATGGTTCACTTGATCAATAATATCATTAATCAGGTTGGTCGCAGCTTAATTATGTTGCAAATAAGCAGGTGTAATAGCGAAATCTTAGGGGGTTTGGGCACCGATAAACTATCCAGTTCAACGGAAAGAAGCACAGCCAATTGATGAAGGAATATGGATTTTACATACAGGAATAATCAACGCAAAGAATAGGTATAATAAAATTTTATGTTAATTGAAAACGTACAATAAATGCAGCAATTCCACTTTTTATCATCATCGTCATCATGATTATCATCATCATCCTACTTGAAGTGTAACAGTTTGAAGAATATTACTCGGTTGNGTTGAACATTCATTTGACTGTCGCATTGGTAAAAGTTTTCTGTAAGACGCGTGATTTGCTTGATATTGGGAATTTCACCCAGCCAATCTGCAGCGCCAGTGTCGACACTAAAGGCGTTTGAGAAAACACAAACGGAATCTCAGCCGGGTCAATTGTATGACCCCTTGCTCAACGGCTTATCGGCAAAATTGTGATGCTCTAACACAAAATCGTAGTTCTAACTCACAATCTTTATCCAACGGGTTATTCTGATTAATTTGTTCAAGGTGTACGGATTGCGACCTATCACCTTCACGCTTGAGTTTCGCGCAAAATTGATAATTTTGCACACTAAAAAGGCAATGGACTCAAATATTGCTCTCCATCTATCTCCCCAGTAGTGTAGATCTACCGACCTTTCCGGACGTTTTGATACCGATCCGTTGTGTTACCAATGTGACAACTTCCCCCGTCCGGGGCCGTATCTAGAACCCCCCCCCACTAT